TTTACACACACACAGAGGCGCAACAGCGCACTTACCAACGGGGCTGCGTGCAGCAGGCGCGGGCTCGGTCGTTGCCCAATTCTTCGACTCACATGTTCACTGCTGCGGTGTGTCCCCGGGGAGGCGCGGCGGCGGGGTGGATTGAGAAGGTCTCAGAGAGACTGCAGGCGTGCAGAGGCGCGCGCTGCAGTGTCTCTGACTGGGCTGCTGGCGGAGTGTGCGCGAGACGTCGTGGTGAGGCGGAGGGCAGGCTGTTGTTGCGGGGTGCGGGCTGCATCGTTGAGCGCAGTGCGTGCACATGGTGCTGTATGATGTGTGTGCAGGCAGGCTGTCAGGCTGTGCAGCAGACTGAGCAGATGAGCGCGCGCGCGCGCGCGCGCGGGTGCGGGCGTGCGTGCGTGCCTTGCGTGGTGCAGAATCTGCGTCGTACTCGCGGCGCGACCTGGTACAGCCGCTTGTGAGATGCCAGAAGCAGGGCCTGCACAGGGCGCAAAAAGGCGAGGTAGTGCTGGTGAGGTGTGCTGCGGCGCGCGCGTCGCGGCGTGAGTGGATATGCGGCTGGCTCTGGACCTCTGGTGGTGCGAGGGGCGCGTGGCTGGTGCGGGCGGCGCGGGACGGCCATGGGGCGCCAGCACAGGGCTTGCGCCCATGACACAGGCTTCTGGGCGCTGCTCGTGTGTTTGCGTGCGCGCGGGGACGTACGCGCATTTTTCACGCGGTGTGCGTGGAGAAGGGCATGAGGGGCGCCGCCCATCCGTGCACCGGCGTGCCACTCTAGTCCCGCCTGCCGCCCAGATACCGAGGGCGGGGCGCACTCTTCGACTTGGGCTATTATTTGCCACCGGGAGGGCGGCGGCGGCGGTGTAGGGGCGGCGGCGAGCTCCCGGTTGCAAATACTCGCCTCACAGTCCAAGATGGCGGCTCGCGCCCCCATCCGTGCACCGGCGTGCCACTCTAGCCCCGCCTGCCGCCCAGATACCGAGGGCGGGGCGCACTCTTCGACTTGGGCTATTATTTGCCACCGGGAGGGCGGCGGCGGCGGTGTAGGGGCGGCGGCGAGCTCCCGGTTGCAAATACTCGCCTCACAGTCCAAGATGGCGGCTCGCGCCCCCATCCGTGCACCAGTGTGCCACTCTAGTCCCGCCTGCCGCCCAGATACCGAGGGCGGGGCGCACTCTTCGACTTGGGCTATTATTTGCCACCGGGAGGGCGGCGGCGGCGGTGTAGGGGCGGCGGCGAGCTCCCGGTTGCAAATACTCGCCTCACAGTCCAAGATGGCGGCTCGCGCCCCCATCCGTGCACCAGCGTGCCACTCTAGTCCCGCCTGCCGCCCAGATACCGAGGGCGGGGCGCACTCTTCGACTTGGGCTATTATTTGCCACCGGGAGGGCGGCGGCGGCGGTGTAGGGGCGCGGCGGCGAGCTCCCGGTTGCAAATACTCGCCTCACAGTCCAAGATGGCGGCTCGCGCCCCCAAGCATCCATGCTCTGATGTGTCGCTTGGGTCGCCTCTGCTGCTGTGTCTCTGTCTTAGCCAGATATCGAGAGCGCGCGACGACAACCAACCCCTTACCCTAATCCTAACCCTAACCCTAACCCTAACCCTAACCCTAGCCCGAAGAACCCAAAGCATTCACCGAGAGCTCGTGTCGACGGACCGCTGATTCCTCCATTTGGTTTCGGCCCAAACCGGACCATTCTCTTAGGAGCTGCACAACGGCTTGAACGCTCTCTGACCCTAACCCTAACCCTAACCCTAATTCTAACCCTAACCCTAATCCTAACGACACGGTGCTTCTTAAGAGGTCGTGCGCGTCGCTGCCGACGCATCTCGCGTGTATGGTGTATTTGCAGTGTATTTCGGCGGGGGCGCGCATTAAAAGAACATTGAGGCAACACACACGTCCTCGAGCGCCCGAGGACACGAACCAAGCTGCACCTCCTCTCGCTAGAGTTATTGTGGGCTCTTTCCTTTCTACACTTCCTTGCTTTCACCGCGTTTTGATGCAGTGAGGGCGGGCCCCTGCTCTTTGAGCCTTGGGGACGACCACGGCCTTGACCACGGCCTCGCTGCAGGGAAGCAGGAACGCGCGGCATTGGTGGCACAGAGATCCCTACCGGTGCCGGCAGTGGTAGGCGCACCGCCGCTCTCTCCGCTGTGCCGCCTCCGCCGCTGCCGCCTCGAAACCGGTTTCGACTGCTGCCGCCTCCGCCGCTGCCGCCTCGGAGATGCCAGAGCCTTCGAAAGTAGTCGAACTTGTGAAATTTTCAGTGAAACGGGGGCGGCCGAAACGTTTCATGTGAAATTCACATGAATTCAAACAAAGTTAGAGTTGTTTGGTATTGCTAAAAATCTCTCTCTCTCTCTGAATTCACATGTGAAAGTGAAAGTGTGAAAGTGTGAAAATTCACTCACGAACCCTGAGGGATCTATGTGGCAAGGCGCGCCACCGCACAGGGTGTGGGAATATAGGGATACAGGTATACTATCACTGTGGGGGGGGGGGGGGGGGAGAGTGATAATAGGGGTGCTGAGGTGGGGCTGGGTGGAGGTGATTCTCCGGGTCAGTCTGGAGGTCATTCTCCACAATCTCCTGCGACAAAGAGGACTCCTCATGGCTGCACTCAAGTGGGCTTCGACCGGCCTCGGCTGGGGGGGCGGGTTGTCCCGGCTGCGGCCTTCTGCAGCCCCCTGGGCACCCAAAAACTGCCCCTCGGCGGCATACAGCACTGCCAGCCAGCCTCTTCCTCCTCCTCAAGGGCTGTACTATAGGCCATATTGCGCCGCCTCCTCCTGGCAGCCGGGCGGGCGCGCGCCGCGGGCGCCTCGGCGCGCGCACGGCTCGCAAGGTCCAACGAGTACTGCCGCCTGGCCGCCTCAAGGCTGCCGGGCGGCAGTACTCGCCTCGCAAGGCGCGCACCGGCTGCTCTGGCTGCTGCGCCGGCGGCCGCTGCGCTGGCCGCTGCTGCGCTGGCCGGCGAGCGGTACGACCGCCGGTGGCCGCTGCACCCGCGCCTTCCCTCACCGGCGCCGTCGCGCCGCGCGCGCCCAACTCTGCTGGCACACGGCACGCGTCGTCACTCAGCCGCGGAGAACAGGCGGTGCTGTGCGCGAAACGCGCGCGATCTCGTACTTTCAAGGCTGGATCCGGCCATTCCAAGGGTAGAGGCCTCAGCTGCGCAGAAAAGACCCGCGCCCACAGCGCGCGCTCCTGGTGCGCTCGCTGGCGTCCATGTCGCTCCCGGCGGTCACGGCCGACCACCCACACATCACCGACGAGCGCTGGCTGTTTGCGTCGTCGTCCTCTTGAAGAACAAGCTGCCGCTGATGACGTTTTGCAGGTCCTCGGCGCGCACGTCAAAGAGTACATGAGGCAGCGCGCGGCGCTACCGATCGCGCCGGCATCATCGACCTCGATGAGAGTGCTGCTTTGGTGCAGCAGCTCGCGCGACGAGGCGACGCGCGTCATGGTTTTCTGCGGTCGACGACCGCAGAAAAGACCGGGGCTCTTTCTCGTGTACAGTGCTGGCGACCAGCAAAAGATTTTTAAATAGATCCAACACGAGTGGGGTGGCGGCAGACCCACCCCACGACGGGCCCGAGTGCGATTGGGGCCGTGCGATGACCTACAGTGCGCGTAGGTGCGTCGGTACGACAGGGTCTTTTCTGCGAGGCGGAGGCCTCTATACCTTGGAGAATCCCCAGCGTCCCTCCCTCCTAGTCACAATCTCAATATCTCGACTCTCCAACACGAAGTGCTGCGATGGGGTTTGCCCCATTTCTTTTTCCTTTCTTTTTTTGGGCCCTGTGGGCACCCTACCATGGCGTGTGTTTTGGGCGGGCGAACCGTGTGGAACGGGCGCAAAAAAGCGCATTTGATCCTGCGGGTTTTTTTAGCTATGTTGTTCGACGCCGTCGCCCTCGTCCGCCTCGGAGGCGGAGGTCGTCGGGCGGGGCGCCTCGCCCGTCGCGAACCTGCCGCCGAACACGGCGTCGGCCGGCGCCGAGGCGCCGGCAGCCGTGATCAGGTCGGCGACCTTTCGGTCCCTGCAGGCCGCATCAATTTTGCCGCGCCGGGACGGCTCGTAGAGCTCGTTGGCGAGCCAGTCCCGGGCGACCTTCGTCGCCACGGAGCCCAGAGGGACCGTGGCGTACCTTAGGTCGCCGAACCCGCTGCCCCCCTCGGGAGGCAGCGAGTAGGCGACCTGAATGTTGGACCCTGCGGGGTTGCGCGCCGCCTGCGTCGCAGCCTCCAGGCCCTCCATGACGAACTCGACGTCTCGCGTAGCGCTGCGCGTGCGGGCAGTCCGCGCCGGCCTCCTTCGCCCGGCGCGCCTTCTGCCGGGTCTTCTTGGCCCTGCGAGCCGCGGCCTTTGCCGCAAGTTGCTCCTTGGTGAGCTCCCTCTTCTTCGGCGCGGTGGGCGGTGCGCTCGATGTACGAGCGCTCCGCCGCCTGCACCGACTCGCGGTCGCCCGCGGCCTTCTCGTGCTTCAGGTCGACCTCGATGGTCGCGTAGCCAGGCTTTATCACCCTGACACAAGACGCACCGAACAACCTTGCGACACTCACTGCGTCCTCCAGTTGCGCGCGATCGGAGCGATTCCAGGGTCCGCTGCGCCTCCCCGACAGCACGACGGTGGCGGGTGGCCGGCGCGTGCGCGCCAGCCCCGTCCGCCGCCGGTTCCGCGGCCGCGGTCCGCGCGCCATGGGGCGACGTGCCACAAGATTCGTACGGCGCTGCGCTCTGCGGGGCGCGGCGCAG